GAGGACCTCAGCCTGAGAAGCTCTGGGATGTTCTCAGTGGTGTCTGAAGAGAGACTTAAATTGGCTGTTCAGCTGGCAAAAAGGGACATCAAACAAAGACGTCTGGAAGAACAAGTAAAACTGCAGGTATTTGGAGATGTCGTCAGCACACCGTTGTGGACACAGAAATCACAACCACAGAAGACTGAAGTATTTGCAAGTCGAGAAAATGAAAATACCCTGAAGTCTCAGACTCAGTTGACGTGTCAGCAGAGGCTTGCCCAGCCTTCCCAAGGAAAGTCTGCCAGCTCTGACACCAACGTTCATCTCTGCCTAGTTAAGGAAGGAAAGCCAGTAGCAGCTGTTTTGGACTCTCCTCCCACCCGGGACACAGGACTGGACCACAAGCCAAATTTAAATAAAAAAGAACATCAAAATATGCAAGAAGTTCAGCGTCTGCAAAAAGAATTGAGGAACTATGTCCAGAAAATTGAAGATTTTATTAAAAAAGGTGTAAGACTGAACAGTAATTATATTATATAAATGATATAAATGTACACTAGTTTGTTGATATTTTTACCCTCATTTTTTGGGTTGGATTAGAATTTGTATTTATGGCTGGACTTTTGAGAACCATCTATTGTTTTGAAAACTAAATAAAAGAATAGCTAGCCAACTTAAGCAGTTTTTTGTTTTGTAATAACAAGGAGGAGGTTTAACCGTTCCTAATTTTGAGTGCTTTATCTGCAGCTTTGTCATAAAACTAATCATAGACACGATTTTTTAAATAAATAATGAGCTATATTGTATTAGACTATTAAATAGAAACAGGATGTGGAGTTTATGATAACTAACTTGCATTACTGTTAAAGAAACCACCACAAATATGTGGTTTGGTTCTGCATGGAAAAGGCTTATTACTAAATTATGTCTGTTGTCATGACTTAATTGGCATTTTCACAGGTTAAATTAAGATATAAAACTTTATATGCTATGCTTTTTAGGGAGAGATAGAGAACTTCTAGATCCTGAAAACGAGCAGCGGCTTTGCACTTGGAGACAGCAACAAGCTGCACGGTCAGCTCGGATGCTGTATGTGCTCCAGCAGCAGGTAGGAGCCATGACTTTAAACTGGGATGCATAGGAGCTTAGTTTGTTGTGATGAATTTGTCAGAAACTAACTGAAACAAGAGGAAGTCAGTTGGGTTATCTCTGAACTTCCATGGCATTCTAGTTTAGATCTGAATGGTGTGACTGATTTCCCTCATGGCTGGACAGAGAGGTGAGCATCACTGTTGAAAAATCTCAGATGCTACAGTGAAGATCTATTGTTCGTTTATAGACATGGAACTAATTCTGACTGACTTGCTCCTCTCTGTCTCCTTTCTTAATAAACAGGTAAAAGAAATTCAGGATGATTTAGAGAAACTGAGTCCTCATACAATCAAACATACTAAAAAGGTAAGATGTAGTTATCCTTCAGGCTGTAAGTGACTTATGAACAGAGTTTTCTGGATAATTGAGTTTGATTGTCTAGGGTGCAGCTAAGCCTTCTCCAGAAAGGAGATTTCCTTTGTATCTTACATATTTCGTCTCATTCTCTGAGAAGTATGGCTCACTTGGCCTGACACTGCCTTTGCTGCTTCTCCTCAGGTCTTGTCTGCAGTAAATGAGAGGAAGGTGGTTGGTCTTCTGCGTTTATGTGCCTTCTAATTCCTTCTTCATTCCAGTTTCTTTTTGCAAGGAATTAACAATGTGTTCTACTCTTGACTGCTTTTTATGACTTCTGGTTGATGACACTCAGTCTTACCAGCCTTCTTTCTGATTTTCTTCTCTGCCCAGCAGCCTTCAGGGGGATGGCTGAGATGCCCACAGTCTAGTCAATGTTGCCCTGTTCTCTTCTGCTTTTTCAATCACTTGCATTTTCTTCTGTAACAAAACAAAGAGGATTGAGAATATTTTTGTTTGTGCAATTGTTACACATTAGATTCCAGCCAACTGTAAATGCCTATAGTTCTGTGTTGGCACAGGTAGTAAAAACATCATGACCTGATACACCCAGGCTGTTTTACCTGAGGCCAGCATGACATTAATAGGAGTATTCTTTTGAGGAATCTTGAGTAAATTACTTCAATGCCTGTTTTGTTTGTCTCACAAATGGATTAATATCAATTAAAATTATTCCAAGCCTGAGTTTCTGCATGACATTTCGGCAACAATTCTTCCAGTAGTATAAGTATCCATAGAAACTATAGATATTAAAGCATTTATTTATTTTTCATTTTTCCAGTCTCGAGCAGTATCCAGGTTGGCAGCAGCACATAGAGGAGCTGTACGAACCTTGCAGGCATTTGCCAGTCAGTTTACAGATCAAACAGATGAGCAGATTCCTGCCCATTACAAGGAACTGGGCAGTCTCATTCGTCAACTGTCTCTCTGCTCTGCCAAACTAGAAGGGGATTCTTCCATTTCTGAAGCTATCATAGACATTTTGCTGCAAGTTGAGGTAGGAAAAAAACATTTGTTTTTGCTAAGGCAGGAAAGAGGTAATGAAATACGAGATTGTGTTAATGAAACGGCAGAATATATTACTGGGTTTGTTTTTATTTTTTAAAGGCCATAAATGTACTTCTAATGTTCCTAAGTAATGGTGGTGTAAAAGAGACATGCATACTAAACACAGAAGCTACCTACTGCTGGTCTTGTTGATGCTGTTCCTAGCTTTCTTGGCTGTCCTGGTAGAATGAGGACTGGTAGTGATAGT